AAAAACAGCTATCGGTGACTACTTGGATAAGTTTATCTAAGGTGATCATTAGAGCATTTCTAGGTGATCTAGGATTTGTGGACGATGATGGATATTTGTTCATAGTAGACCGTCTGAAAGAGCTTATCAAAGTTAAAGGATTTCAGGTACACTACATTGAAGCTTATGTATGCGCTCTACACCGATGTGTTAAGGTACCTCCAGCTGAATTGGAAAATGTCTTACTCGAGCATCCGTTAATCCAGGATGCTGCAGTGATTGGGGTTCAAAATGCGGAAGGAGAGGAATTTCCGAAAGCTTTTGTAGTTAGCTGCTCAGACACCCTGACAGAGGATGATGTGAAAGCATTTGTAAGAGGCAGGCTTTGAAACATCATTGACACTTACTTGCTTGTTATGATCATGAGTCGTTCAGAACGAGTCTCACCATACAAACAGCTCACAGGAGGTGTTCAGTTCTTGAAAGAAATTCCAAGATCACAGACCGGAAAGATTTTGCGACGAGTGCTTCGCGAATAGTGCGGTTCCACTTCATGATCTTTTCACCATATGATTATTTCATTTTGATCCATCAACATTACAAATTTTTAACTTCAAAAAACTCAATGTACGTAATCCATGTTCAACCATCCCTTTGCTTTTTCCACGTGATATTGATGTTATTTTGTAATTGACTAGAAAAGTTCTCCCGCTAAGCGTTTGTTTTGGTCACGCAGAAGTCATCCTAAAATGCTTGTGTTTACTATTGCAATCACACTTTTGCAAACCTGTCGGCTCCAAAGCCCCAAGTTTGGCCCTACAAAATACATCAGCATGAATACATCCAGCAAAGCACTTGTATCGCAGCTCTTTGCGCCAGAGAGAAGCTGAGTTCTGAGGCTCGGAATTGTGCTAGCTTTAGGGTAAGGTTAGAACTTCGAAAAACGAAAAGGGTCGAAAAACGCGATGAGTTACATAGGATTTTTCGAGCTTCGAACAAAATATCTACGGAAATTTCAAGTTATCTCACAGCATTGGTAGAAGCTAAGAGTGCATGAAGCACAGAAAAACAGACGTTCTTGCAGAGCACCTTCCAAAGCATTTCGAACCTTCTGCTAGTAACGATGTTTTTGTGTACAGCGCTAGGTTCACTGTGCAGATATCTCAGACTCTGTTACTGTAACTTTACAAGAATGCTGTCTCGAAAGATTGCATTTGAGAAGGGAAGCTTGGTATGAGGAATACACTAGGCTATGGTCTATCCGATCGTTATACTCCGAAAATTCGATTCGACGTGAAAAAATTCCTAGAAATGACTTTTCATTCTTGTGCCGTTTCGGCTATGCTTTTTC